TGTGTGTGTGTGTGTGTGTGTGTGTGTGTGTGTGTGTGTGTGTGTGTGTGTGTGTGTTTGTGTGTGTGTGTGTGTGTATGTGTGTGTGTGTGCATGTGTGTGTGTGTATGTGTGTGTGTGTGCACGTGCGCGCGCATGCGGGCGTTGCTTGCAGTGAAGGTGATGGCAAGCGCCTGCCCTTCACACGCCATCCTAGCGCCCCAAACGCCGGACCCACCCGCATGTTGTGGATGTCATCTGCCCGTCCTCAATGTCATCCAGGCAGACGGGGCAGTTGATTTTCAAGACGGGTGCTGCCGCTGCTGCTGCTGCCGCTGCCCCCTCTGCCGCCGCTGCACCTGCTGCTGCTGCTGCCCCTGCTGCCGCTGGCGCCTGCTGTGCCCGCAGCTGCCTAGGCTTGTCAAGGGGCGCAGGGGGACGCCGTCGCTTCTTGACCGATGAGGGCGGTTCATCGTCAGACGCCCCGGCCAGGTCAATCACATCCACGGTCTGACGCTGCGCTGGCCGCTCCTCTACAAACACCACTTCATCAGATTCGCCCGTCCCTGGCACGGCGTGCTGAGAGACCTCATGCGAGCCGCTGCCTCGCCGGCGCGCCCGCTGCGGCGGCGGCATGCGCGCCACGGCCTCGCCCTGCCTGTCGATGATAAAATGTGCAGGTCAATACCCAGCTGTCCTTTCGGTGGCTCACGCAGGGCGGACCAGCCTGCCTAGACTGCAAGCCCGCTCCTTGCGCGCCACTGCAGATCGATGTGCGTGTATTGATGCGCAAGGCTGCGAGACTTCAAAGCTGAGTAAACTTGCACTCAATGAGCGTATGCCAGAGGCGTACGATAGCTGCTGGCAATTCGGGTATTTGAGCAAGCCTGCAGCTGTGCCTTCATGTCACCCTTATGTGGTCCTACATTTATATTCTAGATTGCTGCAAAGGGGTATGATTTGAGTTTCTGAGTGGCGAAACTCCCCAGATCCTTCTCACCTTTCGCAACCTTGACAGGGCACCAAAAATGTGCGATTGGCAGCTGTCAAGCGTCCCAGGTAAGATGCTATTGTAATCTGCTGAACTTGCGACCAGCTCAGGATCCCCAGAGTGCTGGGCAGGGCATGTTGAAAGATGCGGCTGTTGACCAGGTGGCCCTCGAACGTGAGAAGCACTACATCTGCACACCCACAGGCGATGGGCTCCAGAGGGACCAAGCTGCGGCCGCGGTGGTTGGCACCCGCGTGTACGCCTTCGGCGGACGGGACATCAGCGGCGCGCCCACCAATACGCTGATCGCGCTCGACCTTGCCGACGCATCCCCCTGCTGGCGCCCCGTCGGTAGCGCCAGCGGCAAGCCCCCGCCTGCCAGGCACGCAAACGTTCAACTGCCACCTCATGCCTGGTGCCTGGATCTGGGGCCACAGTGCCTGGCCCCTACCCTGGCTCACCCTTGCCCATCTATGCATCACGGTGCTGCCCGCGACTCAATCCGCATGCATGTTGAGAGCTGCTTGCATGTTTGAAGTTACATGCGCCACCCATACACATGCAGGTGGGGGGCATCAGGCTTCGCTTGGAGCGACATGCTCTGGGTGGCCGGCGGCACCACAGCCAGCAGCAAGCGCTTGAATGACGTGTGGCGGTTCGACCCGCTGGCACACACCTGGACCGAGGTCGCCAGCGGCGGGGGTGGCCGCCCAAAGTCACGTGCATGGAGCGCAGCCAATGGCTACGACCGCAGCGTCATTGCCAACGGCGCACTGATTGCATTTGGAGAGCCCCAGGTGCATATGGCACACCCGCATGCGCACAAGCATGCACGCATGCAAGCTCACACACATGCATGCAGGATTGCATGCATGCATGCGCACCGAGCCCATTGTTGCAGCAACATCTTGCACAATGCCGCGTCGTTTTTTCAGCCACCATCAACCCCACTTTTAAAATCCGCCACCAGCCACCTGCCCGCCTGTCTCTGAACTCCAGGACGAGAACCGGGACCCCAGTTGCAAGCCCACCGCCGGCACGGGCCCGCTCGCGCTGTTCGCTTTAGACCTGTTCGGCGGCGCCTGCCAGGAGCTGCCCACGGCAGGGTGCCCCGCATTCAGCCACTTGGAGGCCCTGTTTGTGGCGGGCACGCGGCTGGTGGCGGCGGGGTGGCAGGCGCCGAGCGCAGGGAGGCAGGACGACATCGCCATGCAGGTTTGATAGGGGTCCATGCAAGGGGCTTGGCTGCTCTCCCACTGCCTGCTGCACTGATACGCAGCCCTTGAATCTCCAAGCAGGCTGAATGCACACCTTGGCAGGGAGTGGGAGGTTCTGGTGCCCAAACTGCAGCTGCCCACATTGGCCCCCCATTGCCCGTTTGAAGGTGGCGACACTGGACCTCTCCTCGGCGATGGCCCCGGGCTGCGCGCGCCCCGTGGCGTGGACCAAGCTGCCGGCGCGCGGGCATGTGCCGACTGCGCGCACCGGCTGCGCGTCCGCGCTGCTGCGTGGCGACAGCGGCGGCGGCGCGTGCCTGCTCATCCATGGCGGCATGCTTTGCTCGCCATCGGTCCAGGTGCGTGCATGGCACAACAACACCGTGCACGCTGAGCGCATGTACGGTGTTGATTCCTGGTGTGCAAATCATGTCGTGCGTGTGCATGGCACAGCCCTACTCAGCGGTGTTGGAAAACCTCGCAGCCGGAGTCTCGCACACGCGCATGCAGCAACAGGCCCCTGTGCCCACATGCTGAGCTCTGCCATATGGCTGTCACACGCGCAGGGCCTGCTGACGTCAGACGCGTACACCCTGGCCCTCGACACCTGCACCTGGACCAAGCTGGCGCCCAACACGAGCCGCGCGTTCGGGAAGGCCGCGCCCAGCCAGCCGCGGATCAACCACTGCGCCGTCGCCGTGCCGCAAGCCGCCGGCGCGCTCGTGTTTGGTGAGCTGCTGGCATGTTTAAACATTCAGCTGTCAACCTGTGCAGGTGCACGGGTATCTTGTGTCTGGGTCTGGATTGCATGTCATCCTGTTCATTATGCGAATCTGAAACATTGGCCTTGGACAGGGGTCTGTCTTTGATCCCTCCTCACACACGCTTGGCCCCTGACTTGCCCGCCCACCCACCAAGGTGGCACCTCGGCAATCAGCTGCTTCGCCTCCTGCCCCACCGCCGAGCTCCTCTCCCGCGCATCTGGCCCTGCCGCTTCGCTGTCGCCGCCGCTGCTGGCTGGCGCGCCGCCGCCGCTGCCGGCGCTGGCGGCGGCCGCGGCCGCGCTGGCGCCCCGCCACGACCTGCGTCCCTTCTGCCTGTCTGAGACCCTGAGCGACGCGGTGCTGGTGGCGGGGGACGCGCAGCTGCCCGCCCACCGGCTCGTGCTGGCGGCAAGCCCCAGGTTCAGGGAGGTGCGTGATGGCTGCCAGCCCAGTGCACCGACGTGTCGACCCGACCTGAAGCGTGTCGACCCGACCCAGTGCTAAGGCTTTGGCCGGGCTGCGGTATTGCCTGTGATTATTCTCATGAGGTGTGATTGGCTCCTCCCGCCTGGCTAGTGGCTGTGCAGCAGCCCTTTGGTGACGCCAGGCGTCCCCTCCTCCCCCCCTCCGCACCTCTTTGTAGCTGATGGAGCAGGCGGCGGTGTACACCAAGCCTGTTGACAGGAAGTGGAAGGTGCGCAGCCGCCGGATGCACCAGGCTGAGCAAAACAGAGGCGAACAAACCGCAAGAGGCAGAACGGGAGACCCACCCCGTTCGGCCCCGCCTCGCGCTGTCTGCAACCCAACCCACTGCACTCCGTCTGCAACACCACCAATGAACAACACCATCGTGCCCCAGCTGCACCTGACGGACGTGTACCCCGACATTTTGAAGCTCCTGCTGGCACACATGTGAGGCCCCCTGACGCGCACGCGACTTCCTGCAAGCGGCGCCGCAGCAGCGGCGGCCCCACTCTGAGGGAGACCCTTTGCGTTCTGTTGCCCGCTTGCCGCCGGCCCAAGCAACCCACTGCCCGTCCCCTGGCCCATGCAGGTACGGCTGCCTGGAGGCCGTCCCCGCCGCAGACGCGGCCACCCTGTTCAGCGCGGCCACCAGGTGGGCCGCCCTAGGATGTCGGTCGGCCCACAAGACCTGACGCTTTGAATGCACACACCAGGGTCTCTCCCCTCGCTGCTGGACAAGCGTGATGTAATGTAATGTACACTGCTGAGCTGCTGTCAAGCGGGGCGCGAGCCGCTAGTAAAGCGAGGTCCACACAAGCCTGTGCAGCTCGCGTATGCTGGCAACAAGCTGGTGTTACCCACAGCAGCGTATTCTCAGGGTGCTGTATTGTGCCGAGCCTCGGGTGCTGTCTGCTTGTGCTTTCAACAAGTGCTCCCACGAGTGACTGACGCGCACAAGAAGGAACGCTCGCGATGCCCACACACGCACAACACACACAAGCCACCTCATCAGGTACGGCCTGCCGGCGCTGCGGGACGAGTGCCAGCGTGTGCTGTGCGCCTCAACCACCGTGGAGACCGTGTCGACCCACGTGCTGCTGGCCTACGAGCATGCCTCCGCCGACCTCATGCAGGTGTGGCGGGGGCAGCAATCAGGTCGATTGCTTACTTGTGACCGCTGCAGTCATGCTGCCGCTTATCGTGATCGCAGCACTGTTGAGTCGCGACGCCCAGCACGCCCTGACAGAGGGATGCAACGCCCCGAACCCCTTGCCCCGTGATACACCTTACTTCTTTGCGGCCAGAGACTGGTTTGTCCCTTTGTTGCCTTGGCCTCCCCCGCCGCCAGGCGTGCGTGTCGTTTGCGGCGGCGTCCCAGGAGCGCCTGGCCCAGATGCTGGCGTCCCCCGGCTACCTGCACCTCACGGAGGCCAGCCCCAAGGTGGGGCAGCTCTTCCTCACCATGGCCATGCAGGAGCTGCTCAAGAAGGCGTGAGACGCGCGCTGCACCTCTCACGCCCCCATGCACCCGCGCGTGCGTGGCGACTGCTTTCGGCACCTGGACGTCGATGCACCTCCGCCCCCATTGAGGGGTGAAGCCACTTATGAAGCCACTTCCTAGGGGATCGGTGCCCCTCTCTGCGGACAGCCTCTGCTGCCTCTTCCTGTCAGAGGGCCATGGCAGTACGCCCACCGGTTCTTGCGGCTCTGCACAGCAGCAGGACAAACAAGCATGCCAGGCAGCCAGGTCTATCCCGCGAAGCCCTTGGGGGCAGCGGGGGCCGACTTGGCCAGGGTGGTGTCGGCAAGCGGGTTTTGCAAAGGCGCATTGGGACTTAGGGTACTTTACTTCTGTCCTGCCAGCTGCAGGCGCGGAGCTTTGGCTTTCGGCTGGGTCACTCGTTCCTCAGATGCCGCTTGCAGTGCGGCCACAGCGCACCAGTCAACAACTGCTTTCCTCACACGTGCCTGTGCGTCCCTGTCACGCCTTTTTTGTTTTATTTTTCACTGCGTCCCACAGCCTTCCTGTCTCGTGCCTCCTGCTCACGCTGTGCCTTGCAAGTCAGCTTGCCGACCCACCAATTCAAACGCCTTGCCTGAGGCCCAACATTCACCAGCCGTCTTTTCAAGCAAGGCGCCTGCTCGTGCGCCACGTGCGCGCCACCAGCCAGGACGAATGAGTCCACTCGTCTGAGCAACTATGAGTCCTTACTGAAAAGTGTGCGAGAGAAGGCGGGCAGGCGCACATACAGCTACGCCAACGGAAGCGCTCCTGCGTCGTATGTTCTCAGCAGTGTCGTTGCAAGCAGCACGTGTTAACTCGCGCCTGACACCAGAGGACAGTAGTTGGTGCTCAGTGCAAATTCAGTGGGCGGTGGCGCATGCCCAACAAGTATTGGCCTGGCGAGAGCGCCGACTGATGCGGAGACGAAACAAGAAGTGTGAAGCTCGTCAGGCACCTGCAGCAGCAACACCCAGTGTGTGGGATGCTTTGCCCTCAGCACTGCCCCAAAGCAGGGCAGCCGACCCCTAAACCCATTGCATAGACAATGCCATGCAAATATGTGTTGAGCGCATGATGCGAACAATGTAGGGCGGCTGATCAAAACAAGCGCTAAACGACGAGCAGCCTGCCCAGTGCCAAACGGTACTTTAGTCAGCTGGCTGACGCTTGATGCGCCCAGAAAGGCTTCCTCTCCTTGCCAAAGACTCCTCATCCCCTCTACGGACTCCCTGTTGACCACAAAGGCAGGCCTCGTGCTGCACCGCACGCCCAGCGGTCCCTGGGCGCACGCGCCGCAGCAGGCCCATCGCAAAGCGCAAACGCTGCGCGAGCGACCGCCGCGCGCGAGGGCCCCAGGCCTGCCGGGCTGCCGCCGCCGCCAGCAGCTGCCGCTCACAGCTCTGCGCCATCCATGGCGAACCTGATGAGCATGTACACGTTCAGCCCCGCGATGGCCCCAGCCACCAGCCACGCGGCCACGGTGGCCGGCCACCCCGAGGCGTAGCGGCCGACGTACTTGCGGTTCGTCGTGAAGTGCACCAGCGGCAGCACCGCAAAGCTCAGCTGCAGCGACAGCACGACCTGCGAAATGATCAGCAGCTTGCCGACCGCCGCGTCGCCCATCGCCGCGGCGACGGCCGCGGCGGGCACGATCGCGGCGCCGCGCGTCAGCAGGCGGCGCAGCCAGGGGCGCATGCGGAGCTCGAGGAAGCCCTCGAGCACGACCTGGCCGGCCAGGGTGGCGGTGATGGTGCTGTTCTGGCCGCTGGCCAGCAGGGCGACTGCAAACACGATGGAGGCCGCCTTGGTGCCCAGGGAGGGGGCCAGGAGGTTGTAGGCGTCGGTGATGTCCACGGATTCCCTGAAAGGGGGGTTGTGCGTGGCGGTTGGTTGGTTGGTTGACGGGCTGGTTAGTTGGCTGGCTGGTCGATTGCGTAGGGCAACGTATGGTCCTGTTTGCCAGCGCAAGGTGGACATCTTGCAACTCGCCACCTGCGCTTGGGCACGGCCGAAGGAAGTGGCGGCCAGCAGTAATGAGGCGTGGTTGCTGCAGCCCGGCCTGCATGACTCGATCGCCGCACCCCCACCTATGGGGGTAGGACGAGTAGAAGAACGCCGCCGCCGCCAGGATCACGATGGCCGCGTTGACCAGGAACGCAAACATCAGGGAAAGCGTGCTGTCGAGCGTGCCATACAGGATCGCGCGCCGCCGGCCGACGGGGGTGCGCTCGAAGGCGCGCGTCTGGATGACGGCCGAGTGGAGGTAGAGATTGTGGGGCATGACCGTGGCGCCCAAGATGCCGATCGCGATCGTGAGCATCGCGGGGTCGGTGAAGATCTGGCCTGTGGGGACGAAGCCGCCGAACACGTCGCGCCAGACCGGCTTGGCGATGGCCATCTCATACACAAAGCTGGGGGGGTAGGCCAGGGG